GTTTTTAGGAGTGCTCACAGTTCTGGGGCTGAACTACTTAAATGATTCACCAAATAAATAAAAACATTTAAATACAATAAATAAATACATAAATTTAAATGAACACATAAACAAATATTTAAACAAAGAAACAAATAATAGAATTCACCAAAATGAATGAAGATAATAAACATTTAACACTAAATTCAGAAATTAAAAAGCCCCAATCCACTTCCATTTTCTATAAATAATTAACAATATTTTTTTACACACATAGGTGTGTATAAGCAAAGGATGAATCAAAGGTTAGAACAATCACACAGGGCAGGGGGGTTTGCTGAAGATAAATTAATGTAACAATCACATCCCAGCTCTGCTGTGGGAACCCACCTTTAATGAAGCTCATTAGCAAATGATGCTGATGATTCCAGTGGAGGGAGGTGTGTGGAGAGCTTCCCAAAACAGCTCAGGGAGGTGACACATAAACCCCTGGGCAGAAATCCCATTTCTGTGCTCACCCCCCATGTCCAGCCTGGCACCAGATCCGCTGTGGAGGAACCTGTGGGTGCTGAGGAACCCCAGCTCCACGTCCAGGAGAGCAGGGACCCCATGGGAGCCGTGCCTGAGCTCTGGGTGAAGAGGGACAATTCCACCTGGGGGGATTCTCTGTCCCCTGGAGTCACCAACCCCCTGAGAGCAGCGATCCCGATCCTTTTTGTGGCTGCAAACACCACGAGGGGCTTCCTCTCTGCCTCTGGAGAACCCCAAGGACTTGGGGGGTTCCTGCAGGAACCAAGGAGGGAGCAGCCAGTGGGGATGGGGCTCTGCCCCCAGGGAGCAAGGGACAGGACGAGAGGGAACGGCCTCAGGCTGTGCCAGGGGAGGTTTTGATGAGAAACTGGGGAAGGATTCTTCACAGAAAGGGTTTTCCAGCCCTGGCACGTCTGCCCAGGGCAGCAGTGGAATTGCCCTCCCTGGAAGCGATCAGAACCCACATGGATGTGGCACTTGGGGACGAGGTTTAGCGGTGACCACGGTGGTGGTTGAGGGTTGGACTTGGCCAAAATGGTCTTTTCCACTTTAACAGCTACGTGATTCTGTGATTTTAAGCCCTCTTCCCACCAAGGCCAGGATCAACATCCTCCCATGGCGCTGGTTTCGACATCCTTGGGACGCAGACGTGTCCTCAGTTCCTGCGGCTTCCTGGAGGCTCCCGCACCCCAGGGGACACGGCGGCCCCAGCCTCTGATGTTTTGCCATCTGAAGACAACAAGGGGTTCATCAGAAGCCCAAATTTATCCCGAGTGGGGCAGGAACCCCAGGCACGGCCACGGCCCGAGCCGCGACGCCGGGACGGAACGCGCGACCTCCGCGAGCAGCAGCTGGCCCGTGTCCGTGTCCCTCCTGCTGGAGCTCCCCGCACCCAGGCGGGGCTGAAAACGCCCCGTGCCCCTCCAAACCACTCCAAACCACTCCAAAGAACTTGACTTGGCTCAGCCCCAGCTGATAAGAAAGTCATGAGCAAAAAAACTTCAAGTGCGGGGTCAGCGCGGGCTCGTGGGAACAGCCGGGATCCGGCTCCGCTTCCCGAGGCATCCCCTCCTCCAGGGAAGGGAAAATCCAATTTTGTGTCTCAGCAATCCCTGCACTCGCCCAGGCTGGAGGCTGCAGACGCTGAAACAATCCCGATTCCCCAGCTCTCTGCACAGGAGAACATTCCTGGTTTGGTGGGATCCAGCCTGGAGCTGCTGGAGGTTCCATGGTGGAAAATCCAAGGAGCATTGGCTGGAGCTCCTCTTGGGCTGATGCAGGGTGGGAAGGGGAGATGGGAGAAATGGGGGTTTGCATCCCACTGCTCCCAAGCCTCTGGGACATTTTTCCTGGCTCTCCTGGAGGGCAGCTCTGAGGCTTCAGCTCTCCATAAGAGAGGAGAGGAAAGGAACAGAGGGCAGGATAGGAGCTGGCACCACCTCTTGCTCCCCTCACCCTTCACTGCTGCACTGCTGGGCTGCTCCAGGAGCTAAAACTGGGGAATATCAACCTGGAAGGGGGAAAGGAGAAGGGGAAATTCAGAGATCAGGGCTTGATGTGAACGAAAATATTTGCAGCAGAAAAGCACGGCTGGAAAGATGCCAGAGCTGTTCTCCAGCCCTCCAGACCCCTCTGGCATGAGAGGCAGGGCAAAGGGAATGCTGGCAGCAGGATTTGAGGAATATGACCAGAAAAGCAGGCACAGCCTTCTATTTATTTATTTAAAGTGATGCCAGTGGAGGTGTCGGGCTGGGAGGCAGTTTCTGAGCGTTCCACATCAGCATTCCCAGTGCCCCAGAACTACACCCAGGCCTTCCCAGAGGATGCCTGAGCAGAAATACACCCAGCATTTCAGTCAGACGACACCAGGCCTCCCAAAAGCAGCAGGATTTGCCAGCTGACAACCCTGGAGAAACAACTTCCCAAAGGATTTGTCCCTTCCAAAGTCACTTCCCCATAATGTTTTACCTGTTTGAATTCCTGAGGGATGGCCTCCGAGTTTTCCTGCTCAGGTCCCAGAGGAGAGGCTCTGTAGGTGATGCCTCCAGGAATTTTCCCTCCTCCCAGGCATTCCCACAGCCCCCTCCCTGCGTTTGGGACAGCACAGACTCACTCCTGGGCACTGGGACTCCTCCAGCTGAACTGAAATGGGGTCTGGGGCCTGTCTGGGGGGGTAAAGAGCCATTAGTGCCATAATTAGTGCCATAATTAATTAGTGGGGGGTCTGGGAGGCACCTCCATCCCCTCTTGGGGCACATCCTGGGGCACATCCCAGGGCACATCCCAAACCACATCCTGGGGCACACAGCTGCATTCCCTCTGCCTTGGCCAGATGTGGGCAGGGCCCAGCAGAACCTCCCCAGTGCCTGTCCCAGGCGTTTCTCTGCCACCCCGTGAATGGGATTCCTCTCAAGCTCCGCACCCCAAAGCAGGGCCCAGCTGAGCCTCTGTGGGGCAGCCCCACACTTCCCCACCTGCAGGTTAAACCCCTGATTCTGGCTGCAGGCAGCAGCGGTTTTCCTTCCCCGACCCTCGTCTGGCAAAGCTGTTGCAGTGCAGGAGCAGAGAGCCGTGGAGATGTTCCCACAGCTGGCAGAGCCCGAGGGATGTGTGCCCTGAGCCATGGCTCTCCGGGATCCCTGGCTTTCCCGGGAAGCTGCTTTCCTGCTGGGACACAAAGCACAGCACTCAGCGGTGCTTTGGGGTTTTGTTCTCCTCACTGAAGGGACTCAACGGCAGCTCGGACCCCAGTGTGGGTCAGGAGCACTCTGGCTGGGCAAGGATGCGTTTTCCTGGGGGTCTCCGAGGGGTTGGAGCCATCCTTTGTCTCCAGCAGAACAGAGAGGGCCATTGATGCCCCGTCCCGTGCAGGAACGTGACCGGCCCAGAATAGGCTGCAGGACCCCCCCAGGGCTCAGGGAGGGGGGCCCTGCACGCCCCAAGCTCCTCTGTTTTGGGAAGAGAGCCCAGGAAAAGCTGCAGCCCCTCACAGAGGCCAAAGGGTTATAAAGGGTGGTTAAATCCATGGATTCTGCCCTGGGCAGAGGAGCCCTTGGAGGGGCTCTGTCCGGGGATGGAGGGGACAGCTCACCCCTGCTGCCCTTCAAAGCCTCCAGCTGGCACTGGACGTGTTTTCTCCAGCCTAGGCCAGACCCAAAGTCCAGCCCCAGGGTCCCAGCAATGCACCAAGGTGCAGGGATGAGCTCCAGAGTCAACTCTGGGACACAAACGTCAAAGTGGAAACATCTCTGGGTATCACTGGCCAAAATGGGGCAGCAGCTGAGTGCTCCAGGCAAGGCCAGGGGTGAGCTAGGTCCACCAAACCTGGCTTTTCCTGCTATCCTTCCCACCAAACCTGGCTTTCCCTGCTGTCCTTCCCACCAAACCTGGCTTTACCTCCGTGTCCTTCCCACCAAACCTGGCTTTTCCTTCTGTCCTTCCAACCAAACCTGGCTTTTCTCCATGTCCTTCCCACCAAACCTGGCTTTCCCTCCGTGTCCTTCCCACCAAACCTGGCTTTACCTCCGTGTCCTTCCCACCAAACCTGGCTTTCCCTGCTGTCCTTCCCACCAAACCTGGCTTTTCCTTCTGTCCTTCCAACCAAACCTGGCTTTACCTCCATGTCCTTCCCACCAAACCTGGCTTTTCTCCGTGTCCTTCCAACAAAACCTGGCTTTTACTTCTGTCCTTCCCACCAAACCTGGCTTTCCTTGCCGTCCTTCCCACCAAACCTGGCTTTCCCTCCGTGTCCTTCCCACCAAACCTGGCTTTTCTCCGTGTCCTTCCCACCAAACCTGGCTTTTCCTGCTGTCCTTCCCACCAAACCTGGCTTTTCTCCGTGTCCTTCCAACCAAACCTGGCTTTTCCTTCTGTCCTTCCCACCAAACCTGGCTTTCCCTGCTGTCCTTCCCACCAAACCTGGCTTTTCCTCCGTGTCCTTCCCACCAAACCTGGCTTTTCCTTCTGTCCTTCCAACCAAACCTGGCTTTTCTCCATGTCCTTCCCACCAAACCTGGCTTTCCCTCCGTGTCCTTCCCACCAAACCTGGCTTTACCTCCGTGTCCTTCCCACCAAACCTGGCTTTCCCTGCTGTCCTTCCCACCAAACCTGGCTTTCCCTCCGTGTCCTTCCCACCAAACCTGGCTTTCCCTCCGTGTCCTTCCCACCAAACCTGGCTTTTCCTGCTGTCCTTCCCACCAAACCTGGCTTTTCTCCGTGTCCTTCCCACCAAACCTGGCTTTTCCTTCTGTCCTTCCCACCAAACCTGGCTTTTCTCCGTGTCCTTCCCACCAAACCTGGCTTTTTCTTCTGTCCTTCCCACCAAACCTGGCTTTCCCTGCACATACAGATGATTTCTTTCCTGTTTACAAACCCTGACCACTGAGAAAAGCCGGGCTGGTCCGGTTCTCACCATCATCTTTGAACAAATCCCGAGAAGAGGATCCCGCTGCTCCTGGAGCAGACGGTGCCTCCCCTCACCCGCCTTTATTTGTTTTTTATTTCCCTCCTTCCCAGAGCTATCCCGTGCTTCTCCCGCTTTTCCCTCCTCCATCCCCATCCCACCCTCAGCCATTGGTGGCGGGGGCTGTGCTGGGGGAGCCCGGGGATGTTGTATAAAACCATCCCCCAGCACCAGCCCCTCCTGCACCCGGAGCGCTGCAGCTCTCCCAGGACATGCCCAGCATCCCGGGAAAGGAGCCGTGAGGGGGAACAAACAGCTCCCAAATTCCCAAGGAGCACCCAAACCCCACGGTCAGCGGGAAGGTAACGACTCCGGGGGAAAGCTCTGCGCGTTCTTCTGCAAACCCTGGGATTTTGCAGCGTTTACGGGGAAGTTCCTCTCGGGCTGGTGAAGGAACCATGGTGCCTGGAGAAGTCAGGGAGAGGAGAAATCCAGCAGATCTCTGGTGGAAGCTCCTGGAGCGGGCTGGGTTCAGGGTGGGGAGCCTCGGGTTGTGCCTCTCCTCCATCCACAGACCTTTTGCTGTGATATTTATTTATTCACAGAGCTTTTGCTGCGATATTTATCCACAGAAAAGCTGAGATTGGTGTCTGGAGAGATGGGTCTGCTGAGGTGGGGCTGCTCTGGAAGGGAGGGAGAGGAGGAGGAGGAGGAGGCTGCTGGAGGTGAGGATGCTGCCCGGGATGTGCCAGGCTCTCCTGGGAAGAGGGATTCCAGTCCCAGACACGGCACCTTTTGGGCAGAACAGGCTCTGTAGGGTTCAGGTGACAGTTTTCAGTTCAGGTGACAGTTTTCTGTTCAGGTGACAGTTTTCTGTTCAGGTGACGGTTTTCAGTCGTTTTCTCTCTGGGAATCTCTCCCCGGTGTCCACTTCAGGATTCCAGTGGGTTCAGCTGCCATTTGGGCTTGGCACAATTAAAATTCACTGGGATGGGTGAAAGCAGTTCTGGATCTGGGGTTTAACCGTGCTGGCCTTGCTTTCCCATCTGAAGAAGCTTCTTGGTGCTCCCGTGCCTCAGTTTCCCTCAGCTGAGGAAGAGCTGCGTTTCCAGGCACCCCGAGATGGGAATTACAAGGAGTAAACGGGCAGCTGGACAGGAGAAAACAGTTTCTCTTTGCCCAGATTTTGGATTTAGTAAAAGATTTGATTCAGAGGAAGGCAAGATGGGGAGAAAGCGCTTTTCTCCTGCAGTGCTTTGAAGCTGTGCCGTGGAGCCGTGTCCTGTGATCCTCCCTCACATGAGCTCCTTGCCAGGGTTTTTATGCTCCAACATTTCTCTTTACCAGAGCTCTGAGGCCAGGCTGGGCACACTGAACAGCCCAGGGCTGTGGGGGGCTCTGGGCACGACTTCCAGGGGTGCTGTGGCATCTTCTGCCAGTGCCATGAGTCCCTGTGAGCCCTCGGGGACCTGAGGCAGGAATTCTGCGCTGGCTCTGCCCTCTCCTGAGAGCTGCAGTCCTGTGGGCACGGTGGGCAGGAGAGGTTTGGACATCCCTCCTGCCCCTGGTGTGGCCCGGGGGGGGACGACAGCTGGGGAGTTTAGCAAGGCTGAAATCCCTGAGCAGCTCAGAGCAGGGATTTGTGTCCGGGTTTGTGATCCTTTGGGGTGTTTATCCATTCTCTCCCTTCCTTTCTTCCCCCTTCCCAGCCCAGCCCAGGTCCTGTGCTCGGTCCTGGAGGGTCCTGGCTGTCCTGGCCACCTCTGCCCGGGCTGGGCCTGCCATTCCCCTTGCCAAGGGCAGGGACAGCCCTGCCACAGCCTGGGAGTGCCTTGGCTCTCGCAGGGGAGCAATGCCGGGGCACAGCGGGTTTGGGGTCAGACCCAGCTCTGCCTGGGGGAGTCAGAGCAGAGCTGGAGTCCCCACTGTGATCCCAGTCAGGCTCCCTGACCCCTGTCCCACCTGGAGCAGGGAAATCCCAGGGACTCTCAGAAAGGCTCCAGTTCCCAGCCACAGCAATTCCTTCTTCCTTCAGAGCCGGGGAATTTCTCAGTTTGACAATTATTCACTCCAAGCAGGAGCCCCCAGATTTCTCCCTGTTTGAGGAGCAGACCGGACTTTGCTGCCCTCTCCCACTCATTCTCTGGGCTCATTTCCGAGCCTGGGTCCCCCAGAAACCCCTTCCTCACACCCACACCCCCAGGATGGTGCCACCACCACGCTCAGCCTTCTCCTGGGGTTGTGGGGGGACCGCTTGGCTCTTCCTGCCTGGAAGATTTTGCAAAGCAGAATCCTCTCTGGGGATGTTTCCTGGTGTTCCCACAGCGTCAGCAGCCAGGGCTGGAGAGAGCCTGGGGAGATTTGCACCCCTGAGCTGGGGGGTTTGGGGAGGAGGAGGTTCAGCTGGTGGTGGTGAGGATGAGGAAGGAGGGGCTGTGCTCTGCACACAAGCCGGGAGGAGATGGCAGCTGGAAAGGGCAGCAGGGCTGTGCTGGATTCTCCCTTGGCAGGGCCAGCCCCAGGGACCAGCTGGGGAGGGGGTGTTGGTGAGGCTCCAACATTTATCCATTTATATAATGGATAATATATGATATTATAATTAATAATAAATAATATAATTATCATTCTGTTGGAATGAGCGGGAGGAGTTCTGCTGGCTCTGTGCACCCTGAGTTGCAGAACTGCCCAGGTGTGCAGGCATTGACAGAGCTGCCCCAAAACTGCAGCCTCAACCTGACAGGGACAAAATGACCCAAAAACAAACCCTGCAGCTCCCTGGCAGGAGGGACAGCCGGGGGAGGTCGGGATTTCTCCCAGGAGGAGTTGGAACAGCCTCAGGCTGGGCCAGGGGAGGCTCGGGGGGACAGTAGCAGGAATTTCCCCGTGGGAAGGTGGCCAGGCCTTGGAAAGGGCTGCTCGGGGATGTTTGGAGTGCCCATCCCTGGAGGTGTCCCAGGAACAACTGGACTCAGAGCTCTGGGCTGGCTGGGGACTGGGCACAGCTTGGAGACGATGACCCTGGAGGGATTTTCCAGTGCTGATGATCCTGGGATTCAGAGTGAGGAGTGGGATGGGCACAGAGGGAAATCGGGACGGGCACAGGAGCAGCGATGCCGAGTGCAGGAGGTGCAGCCACCCTCACTGAGCTCAGACAGGTGTCCCCAGCCCAGCAGGGCTGTGGCAGAGGCACAAGGGATGGTTTGTTCTCCTTCCAGTTTGTTCCACTGGGCTGTTGGAATTCAGCAGCACAAACCCCACCCTCAGGGCCAGCAGCTCTGGCCTGCTGGGATCCGATCTGGCGTCGTTTCTCTTTGCTGGGATGGTGGAGCTCTCCAGCAACTCATAAACAGAATTGAATCATAAAACAGAATATCCTGAGCTGGAAGGGACACACAGGATCATCCAGCCCAGCTCCTGGCCCTGCACAGACCCCAAAACCCCCACCCTGGGCCTCCCTGGAGTGCTGTCCAAACCCTCCTGGAGCTCTGGCAGCCTCGGGACCGTTCCCTGGGCAGTGCCAGCACCCTCTGGGGAAGAACCTTTCCTGATCTCCCACCAAACCCTGCCCTGGCCCAGCTCCAGCCCTTCCCTGAGTGCTGTCACTGCTCACAGCGAGCAGAGGTCAGAGCTGCCTCTTGTGAGGAGCTGTCAGACCCCAGTGAGGTCTGACCTCAGCCTCCTCCTCTCCAGCCTGGACAACTTTTCTCCTCTCCAACACCTGGAGAAATCCCCTGTCCCTTTCTCCACTGGCAGATCCCAGCAAGACCCCGAGGACATTCCACCAGCATCATGAGGCCTCCTGCCCTGGGCTTCGCTGCCCGCTCCTCAGCAGGATCCATCCCGGCTCCCACCGCTCTGGCCATCCTCCTGAGCTGCCTCTTCTCCGGGACACACAGCCAGACCCCAGGAGCCTTCCAGGAGAGCTCTGTGCCCCTGGAGACGCTCAGCCAGGACCAGCACAGCCTGCTCCAGCCGGGGCTGCTCCGGGCAGCGCCTTCCAACCTCTCTGCGGGCCCCTCGGAGCCGCCGCTGCTGCCCGTGTGCGCCAGGCCCGCCGACATCNATGGGGCTGGGATGGGGCTGCTCCCACCTCAGTACGAGCTGGGGCTGCTCCTGGATCCCTGGAAGACTCCAAGACCAGCTTGGATGGGTCTTGGAGTGGCCTGGGGTGGAAGGTGGCCCTGCCCATGGTGGGGATGGGACTGGATGGGCTTTGGGGTCTCTCTGAAGCCCTCCTGGGGTTCTGTGTCGCTGCTGAGGCCGAAGGGAAGAGCTGGAACGGGAGGTTGGTTCTGGGGTAGCCTCAGGAAGGGCTCCAGGGCTCAGGGGGACAGAGGGGACTCAGTCTCATTCTCCTCCTTGTGAATGAGTGGCCTGGATCTCTCCAGCCTTCAAGACACGTTTTCCCCACCTCTGTTCCAGCTGAGCTGGGGTTCTGCCAGGAAAGGGAGCGTGCTTGGGAGTCAGAGTCTGGAAAAGGCTTAGGACACATGGCTTTGAAGCTGACCAGGCTGGATTTTGGCTGTGTCAGAGCAGGACTTTCATTCTCCCTTTGAAAACAACACAAAGCAGCCTAGTGTGCAGTTTAGGACTCAGATCCTAAAACCCCCCAGGGTCTGGAGTCAGGACCTGGTGTCTGGACCATCCTTTATCTCTGTCAGGGGAATGAAAGTTTCCCAGTGCCAGCAGGCCATGGGGAAGCGCCCATGGCACATTCCCAGTGGTGGGAAGCTCAGAGAGCTCTCCCTGCTCTCTGTGGGCTCCCCACAGCTCTGGGTGAGGTGGATCCTCATTCCCAAAGCAGCCTGCTAACCTGTGGGTCCTCCCCAGCTCCTGGCCAAGGACTGGCCCTTCGGAGTGCAGGTCTGCAAGCTGGTGCCCTTCATCCAGAAAGCCTCAGTGGGCATCACGGTGCTCAGCCTCTGCGCCCTCAGCATCGACAGGTGAGACACAGCAGCCCTGCCCAGCCCGGCCCTGTCCCCTCGCTGGGACCAGGGGCAGAACCAGGAGCTCCTTCCCAAGCCAAGGTGTGGACAGGGGATGTAGGGCTGGAATCCAGCAGGAGCTCCCTGGAGACAGAGCTGAAATCCTGCTGGCAAAGGGGAGGATCATGGTGTGGGTGGGGTGTGAGGAAGGGTGGCCAAGCCCCCATCCATCCATCCATCCATCCATCCATCCATCCATCCATCCATCATCCATCCATCATCCATCCATCCATCATCCATCCATCATCCATCATTCATCCATCATCCATCCATCATCCATCCATCCACCATCATCCATCCATCCACCATCCATCATCCATCCATCCATCCATCCATCCATCCATCCATCCATCATCCATCAATCTATCATCCATCATCCATCCATCCACTGAGCCCCATTCCCGCACTTGGGAAGGTTCAGAGGTGGAGGAGGAAGGTGTGAGGGAAAGGAACTTTGGGGAGCACCTTCTCCTCCCCTCCCTGGCTGCTTTTCTCACTCCCTTCTGTTCCTGTCACATTGCCACGCCCGGGCAGGTACCGAGCAGTGGCGTCCTGGAGCCGGATCCAGGGCATTGGGATTCCCATGTGGAAGGCCGTGGAGGTGCTGCTGATCTGGGCCGTGGCCATCGTGCTGGCAGTGCCCGAGGCCATCGCCTTCGACATGGTGGAGCTGAGCTACTGGGAGCAGCACCTGTGGGTGTGCATGCTGGCCTCGGAGCAGAAATCCCACTTCATGAGGGTGTGTGTGCATCCCCATCCCAATCACAATCCCAATCCAAATCCCAATCACAATCCATCCCCATCCCAATCCCAATCACAATCCCGCTTCATGAGGGTGTGTGTGCATCCCAAATTACTCCTCCCAGTTCCAATCTCCCCATTTCCAGCTGCTCCCTCTCCCTTTCCCCTGCAGTTCTACCGGGATGTGAAGGACTGGTGGCTTTTTGGCTTCTATTTCTGCCTGCCCTTGGTGTGCACGGGCATCTTCTACACCCTCATGTCCTGCGAGATGCTGAGCAAGAGGAACGGGATGAGGATTGCTCTGAATGACCACATGAAACGGGTGAGAGATCCAGGGAGGAGCCCTGGGATTCCCAGGGAGGAGGGAGTGATCCTGGAGCGGGGACCATCCTGTCCTGTGTCCTGTGAAGGACAGGATGAGCTGGCCAAGCCTCACAGCAGACCTTGGCAGGTTGGTGCAGGGAATACACCAGGGAAAAGGGCCTTCAGCTCATAATCTGCAGCCTCAGAAAGGCCCAAACCTTTCTGGCCACAGCCCAGCTTCACTAAAGCTCTCCTGGTCCTTTATTCACTCCGGACCAAAGGCTGGATGTGCCAAATCCCCGACAATGGTTCACTGTCCCCTCCCAGGCTTTGGGAATGATTCCCTGAGGAGCTGCAGCTGGCTGTCACCCTAACAGTGTGAGGGCTGGATGGAGGAGGCCCCAAGTCCCTGGGAACACCATCCCAGCAAAGCCAGCAGGAGCAGGGCTGGGGAGGCCCTGCCCCTTTCTGCAGCCTGGACCTGCTGCAGGGTTCCAGGAGCAGCCTGTGTGGAAGATGTCCCTGCCCATGGAGGGATGAATGAGACTTAAAGTCCCTTCCAATCCAAACCATTCCATGATTCCACACCTTGGGCCCTGCTCCCCAGTGCTCACCCTCCCCCTGCCCCTGTCTGGCAGCGCCGGGAGGTGGCCAAGACCGTCTTCTGCCTGGTGGTGATCTTCGCGCTCTGCTGGCTGCCCCTGCACCTCAGCCGCATCCTCAAGAAGACCATCTACGACCAGACGGACCCCAACCGCTGTGAGCTGCTCAGGTAAAGCCCCCAGCAGGTGCCACCGGCCTGGGAGCCCCGGTGGGACCAGCACGGGCCCTCTGGGGCTTGGACCACACTGGGGGAGTTGCCTTCTGCCTCCTGCTCTCTGTAATTCCTTGTTCAGATGGCACCGCCCTCCTGATGGGCACAGAGAGGGCTGGGGGGACATGAGAAGGGTTAAATTAAATTTGGGAATGTCTGGGTGAAGCTGAGCTCTCCTGGGCATGTGAACATTCCCAGCAGGGCCCAGGGCTCCTCACTTTCTGCCAGGTGTGAGGTGCCTGTCTCCCTCCCCTTCCATCCATCAGCCAAAATCCTGCTCTGCTGTGCTGGGGTTTGGGAACATCAGGAGCACCAGGAGAAATCAGAGCTCGTGTTCTTGACTTCCTCAGGGAATGCTCCTCACAAGAAAAGTGGTTCTTCTTCGGGAAGGATGGATTTGTGCCCAGCTCTGTTACCAGCCACTGCTCCTCCACGGGAGTAGGATCCCAGGCCAGGCAGTTTGGAAATTCCCACTGTTCTCCACCAGCTTCTGACACATCTATTCTCTCCCTTCCCACCTTAGTTTCCTCCTGGTGATGGATTATTTCGGGATCAACATGGCCTCCCTCAACTCCTGCATCAACCCTGTGGCTCTGTACTTTGTCAGCCGGAAATTCAAGAACTGCTTCCAGGTAGGAACGAGCCCTCCAGAGCTCCTGCCCGCCAGGCCCAGGGGCACAAACTGATCTCATTCCTCATCCCAAATTCTCCCCTTTTGGTACCTCTCTTCTCCAAGTGTACCAGAGCTCAGTGCCCTGCTGGGGAGAGGCTTTTGCCAGAGCAGGATTTAGGAGAAGCCAAGAATTCCCTGTCGTTCTGGGGCAGGAACATCCCCAGGAGCAATCAGGGGCTGGGGCTGCTCCAGACTCTGAACCCAAGATGCTGGGAGAGAATTTACAGGAGCAGTGAAGCCCTGAGAAAGAAAGGGAAGGAGATGGGATGAGATGGGCTGGGCTGGGATGGGATGGGATGAGATGGGCTGGGATGGGAAGGGAGTTGAGCCCAGCTAAACATCACCTGTATTTTCTGTCCCCTAATGAGAACGCAGGATTACAAACAATGCCCCGAATTTCAGTATCCTCATTTCCCACCCTCACCAGCCCTATCCTGGAAAACCTGCTCCCAGCAGAGCTGCAGGCCAGCAAGGCTCAGCAATTCCCAACCTGGTGCTGTGCAGGGACGCCTGCTGGCACAAACATGGGAATATTTCCTCCTCTTTTCCCATATCCCACACATGTGACCTCCCCACTTGTGTCTCCCCAGTCCTGCCTGTGCTGCTGGTGCCAAAGGCCGGCCCTGAGCATCACCCCCACGGATGAGAAGGGATCTGTTGGCAAGTGGAAAGCCACGGGCCAGGAGCTGGGGCTGGACCGGAGCAGCTCCCGCCTGAGCAACAAGTACAGCTCTTCCTAAATCCCTGCCACCATCAGGGACAAGGCACAAGGACAGCGGGGCCCCTCCGATCCTCTCCCAGGCTCTTCCTGGCTGGGCCCGAACCAGCTTTGCCTCCGTGTCCTAACCCAGCTGGAAGGAGCTGGAGCAGCTCCAAACCCAGCCCTGACCCCAGCGCTGCAGGACAGGGAAAGGCATTCACATGCTCACGGGATCTTTCACTTCCTCGCAGGAAAAACAAGGGAATTCTGTCCATTTTGGAATGTGGGGCGGGGAGAAAGTGTGGGAAGGTTGGGGTGGTCACTCTGAGATGGATGTGGGGTGAGGAGGAGAGGGAGAGCGACAATTCCCAGCTGGAAAAGCCAACCAAAGCTTGGATAAATCCCTGTGAGGGACAGAGATGTCCTGGTGGTCACATGGAGGTGGGAAAGGCAGTGGAGAAGGTCCAATCTCAGCTGGAAGAGCCACTGGAACCATCTCAAATATGGGAAAGGGCTCTCTCCAATTTATTATTGGCAATAATCCATCCCCACGTTACATGCCAATAATTCATCCCTAAAAAAAAAGCGATTTTCCAGCAATTTTCAAGGCCAGGTTGGACAGGGCTTGGAGCACCCTGGGACAGTGGAAGGAGACCCTGCCCATGGCAGGGGTGGGAAGAGAGGGAGTGAAGGTCCCTCCCAACCCAAACCAGTCTGTGATTGCAATCCATGTGATTCCATGTGACTGTGAATCCATGTGATTCCATTCTAACGTTCTTGCCAAATTTTTCAGAAAAAACACATGAAAAAGTTGTATTTACCAGGTTTTTGATGATTTTTTTGTTGCTTTTCCCACATCTCTCCTTTCCCTCTCTCTCCTTTCCCTCCTTCCCCCTTCTTCCTTGTCATGGAAAAAAATGGAGAGAGGAAAAGGAGAGACAAGAATTGTAATTAAAATGTTTTCCAGGTGTTGGGGTGGATTTTTAGCTTAACTTTCACTGAAATGTAAATATTTTACAAATAAATCATAAAGACAAATGTGTTTCAAGGAAAACAGAGACTGAGGAACATCAAGACCAGCCCATTTTCCATAAATTTCCCAATCTGTGGAGCAATCTGTGTCCACATTCTTTGACCTTCCACCCCTGTGCTGAGCAGGACACAGCATCCTCTGCAGCATCTAAATTAATAAACTTTATTATTAAAAAAATACATTTATTAATAAAGAAAATACTCGTTTGGACACAGGGAATTCAACACACAGAGGTTACACATCCATGCCATTCCCAAAGGCTACTGCATCTCCTCCTCCTTCTGTGCTCTGAACTCCTTCATGCTCCTCTGAAACAAGAGCAAAGCACAGATGTCACCAGAGTGTCCCTGGGGTAGCACAGAGCCACCACCCTGCTGTGCTGGGCTCCTGGAGCCTGGAAAGGCTGGGAAGCTCTGCCACAGCTCCAGGTGCTTCTGGAAGTGACTGAAGCTTTACAATCACTGCAAGGGAAAGGGAGCCAGGCCATGCCATGGGTCAGGCAGAGCCTGTCCAAAAAAACTCACAGGTTTTCCTGCCAAAGGCGCCTCCAACCTCAGCCTCCTGCACTGGGATCAAGGTCCAGAAGTGACCCTGAGTTCCCCAGGAATGGCCCAAGGGCCAGAAGTGACCCTGAGTTCCCCAGGAATGGCCCAAGGGCCAGAAGTGACCCTGAGTTCCCCAGGAATGGCCCAAGGGCCAGAAGTGACCCTGAGTTCCCCAGGAATGTCTCACCTCAAAGGTGTTGAGCACATGCTGGCAAACACCCATCAGGTCATTCAGCCCTTTCCGGAATGGCTCCACAGCAGGAAGGGCCCCTTTGGGAAAAGATGGGAGAAGATGGATTAGGGAGATGGGAGGTGGCTTCCCAAGGGCTGTCCTCAGCTCCCCAGGGGTGTGCCCCCTTCCCAGCCCCACAGCTCGGGGTGCCAGGGCTGCTCCCAGCCAGTCCAGGTGCCTGGAGCCAGGGATGCTGCTTCCCCCTGCAGAGAGCAGGCAAAAAGGGCTTTTCCTTATTTAACAGACTCCTGGTGGGAAGCTGGCAGGAGCAGGGGGAATCCTAGGAGGACAGGGACACAGCCCCAGCCTCACCTCTGGTCTGGATCCTGAAGTTGATCTTGCTTTCCGAGGGGTGTGTGATGCAGTAGCCACAGAACTCCACGTCAGGGCTGCAGGAGGGCAGAGAGGAGAGGGAGCAGTGAAACCCAGCCCAATCCAAATCCCAGGGGAGTCAGAGGCTCAGGGCACCCCAGGCCTGCTGGGGCTCTGGATGTTTCTAGAATGACTTAGGGGAGGGATGTGCTGAGGGCAAACTCCCTGTGTGACCTTGTTCCCTCACACCCATCTCTCTGTGAGCTGAGCTGGAGCTCTGCACGGCAAGGACACAGCTGGCACCACAACCAGAGCAGTGCCAGCTCTGCAGATCCAAACATGGGATCCTGCATGCCTGGAACTCTCCCTGTAACCAAACCTGCTGCTGCTCTGCTGGGTGGAACAGGCTGAGTGCTCCAGGGAACTGGAAGAGTTCCCAAAATGTTGCAGGGCCTCTTCCTCCAGCTGAGGAACTCCACTGAGCTGAGTGCTGGAGCTTTGCCCCCAGCTTTGGCTGGCAGTTTCTTTTGTGTCATCACAGTGATTTATCAGAGGGGCCTTAAAGCCCATCCAGTCCCACCTGCTGCCATGGCAGGGACACCTCCCACTGTCCCAGGCTGCTCCAACCTGGCCTGGGACACTTCCAGGGATGGGAAATCCACAGCCTCTCTGGGCAGCAAATGGAGTCCAGGACTCAGCTACTCCTCCAGTAGCTCAGGAGGGATTGAAAGCCCCGGGCTGAGCTTAACTTGAGCTCCTGGGCAGGGGAGGGTGTGGGTGGAGGCTCAGGGGAGGCTGGTCAGGCCCCTCAAGGGCTGTTGGTGCTCTCAGGGTCCTGATACAGCACAAGGAAAAGGAGGAGCAGCAGGTGGGAGCTGACACAAACACTGGACACAGAGGGGATTTGGGATTAGCCCAGTGAAAGCTGAGGTGTGGTTCAAGAAGAAGTCCAGAGCAGGGCATGGACATCCCTTGGAGGCCCCACTCACTTCTTCATGACCATGTAGCGCAGGGAGTTGCCCAGGGTGTGATCCTCGTCGTGCAGCACGAACGTGACGCAGTTCCCGTCCGTCCCATCCGCCTGGATCTGCCAGCAGCGGGAAGAGAGGAGAAGCTGTGAGCTCCCTCCAGCAATGGGAAGAGAGGAGAAGCTGTGACCTCCCTCCAGCAGTGGGAAGAGAGGAGAAGCTGTGACCTCCCTCCAGCAGCAGGAACAGAGGAGAAGCCGTGAGCTCCCTGAGGTCAGGGACACCTGAAGGGTGAGGACCAGCTCCCACGCTCAGCTCCCCACAGTAACTGGGAGGGTTGTAGATCTCGCTGGGCCACCTCTGGTGCTGCTGGGGGAGCAAAACACCTTCCGAGAGGAGGGAAAGCTCCAAAATTCCACCAGATGTTGAAGCAGGTTTAAACACTGCTGTTGTGTTCCCCACAGGATGATGGCAGGGTGTCCCTTGGAGCCATCCTGACAGGATTTGTCCTGGTCCCGATGCTATCCCACCACACGTGAGGCTGCCCTACCACTTAGCCAGCCTTGGGTGAAATAAATTGGGCAGGACTGGAGGTCCTTTTTAATGGGGATGACACACTCATGGAAGCACGGGATGGTTCAGGCTGGAAGAACCCTGCAAGAGCACCGAGCACAGCCTGCCCAGCCCATGGCCCTGAGTGCCACATCCACACACGGCTTTAAAACCGACGGGCACTCCAGCACTGCCCAGGGCCAGGGCTGCACAGCCCTTCCCACCAAACCTTCTCCCCTAACATCCCCCCAGCCCTCCCCTGGCACAATATTTCTGCTAGTTTAAGGTAAACTGGGGAGAAAACTTCCGAATGGAAGCAACCGAATTGTGGAAGAACCCGCTCCGCCTCCCGTGAGGGAGCGA